ACAGACAGACAGACAGACAGACAGACGGGTTGCTCCTGGCTCACCCCCAGCTCCCTGCTGATCCTGTCCCAGTGTCTGTCTCCGTGTCTCCTGCTGACCTCCTTCAGATGTTGGACCTCCTCTGGACTCCAGCGCGTCTTGTTGATGGACGGATGGAGGAAGTTCTGCCAGAACCTCCGGATGTCGTCGGCGTCCTTCGTCCCTTCAAACTGAGGACCAGGACAGTCTGCTGTCTCTGACTCATAGTGTCACAGAGTATTGATTACTGATTGAATTCACACTTACATCAATATTAGAGATTTTCTGCCAGTCGTGTTCTTCGTATCGATCGCCAATCAGCTCCTCCTCCTTCTTCCCTCTGACCAATCAGAATGAGACACACATTACACAGCTCGTTCTCTGAGCTCCATGTTTTTATCCTGTTTCTGCTCACATTCGGTCAAACTGAGACGCTGAGGGAAGCTAAAATCACACAGATTCTCTATGGAGTTCTGAACTGTGTCCATCTCCGTTTTCTGAGCGGACTTCTGGATGTTTGTTCTGATTCATGTCAGAGATAAATACCTCCTCATGCAGTGAAGGCAGGTCTAGTCCAACATACATGTATCATGAATGTGACCCCACGTGAAGCTGAGTGGAGCCTCAGAGAAGGACGAGGAGTTTTGCCTGACAGAGCTTCAGCCTGTTTTAGGGGTTTTTAAAGTCCAACACACAACACGAACCTGAGCAGGTCGATCTCTCTCTCCAAACTGTCGATCTGCTCTCTGAGCTGCTGCCTGTCTGTCTGCTCTGCTGAGGACAGCTTCTGGCTCAGGTAGTCCACCCTGAATCAGACAGACAGGTCTAGATCGATGGCCATGTAATAGTAACAACCACAACAGCAACCACAGCAACAACAACAACAACAACAATCACAATAATAATAAGAATAATATGTGAGATGTTACTTGGACAGTTTGGGTTGGATGAGTCTCTTCAGACTGTCTCTGGACACCGAGTGGATCAACAGAGTCTTTTGCCAGCTCTCCCCTGAAACAGACAGACAGACAGACAG